CAAGAGGTCTCCAGAAACCTAATTCCATTTTCTATCTGCAAATGAATTGCAGAAAACAGAAGCAGACAACACCAGGTTTGAGCATATCCCTAAAGCCAAAAGATGAGTAGATTTTTATATTATTTACAGTATGCTTAGAGATGCTATATATAAACTACTAGCTCTGAATTCATGCCAGACCAGATTTATAGGTCCTTTTGGTTTTTGAAATCCTCACAGGGGTAGGCCTCCAGATGTCCTGTGACATGCAATTCTTTATAAACTGAAGGAGGAGATTTTGTAAAAATTCTGTGAAAAGAGGCTCATTAGCATTTGTTGGAGCAGCTATTCTGCTTTTCAAAAGAACTTTAAAGTAAAGAATATTGATGCTTCTACTTGGTAATCTTTAAAGTGATTGTGCAGTCTCAGGTTTTTGTTTTTTTTTAAATAGCAAACATGGTATTGCACAGAGTGGCCCCAAACAACCTCTAGGCTCCTCCTCTTCTCAATGCACCCTCATAGGAAGCAGTGGGCTTGCTCCCTACCCAGGCTGTGTGCGTCTATTGACACACGCTGTGCAACTCGGAGCCAATGGCTCCCACTGCTGCCTGTCAGGTCCTGTGTGAAGATGGAGTGAGGAGAGAAGACTGCAGCCCTGCTCAGCGCTGGATGGATCCAGAAGTTAGGTAAGTGTTTTGAGGGGGGGCACAGCTATTACTAAAATGTTTTTTACCTTAATGTAAGGAATTCATTAACCTTCCCAGCGGTAATCCCGAGTGTGGCTCGGGGTTAATTTGCAGTACCAAAAGCAGTAGCCCTGAGTCACACTCGGGATTACTCTATAGTACTTCTCCTGCTATCCCCCTATCCTTACCTTGTCCTGCGATCACGCAATGTCCTCCCGCTGTGTCCTCTGGCCGATGGCGGCATCCGTCTCCCGGATTCCGTTCCCTGTGAGCATCAGTAAAAATATGACATATGCACAATACATTGTAATCTGTTAGGATTACATTACTGTATCAAACCATTTCACCTAAATTGTGTCCCTAGTGCTTTGTCCTGTGCCCTGCCTGAACATTCATGGCATCTAAAAAGCATCCCTTTTAGGTCAAAAGCGGTTTTTGACCAGCTAGAAAACGGCGATAGTGAATTAGAATTAGAAAGTCGTCATCAGACACTGAAAACGATTCTGCGACTGAGCTCAGTGATGTGCGAACTTGGTGCTCTGTTTCAAATTTCAGTGTTTTTGGTTTGATTACATTATTTAATTAAATTCATTATTATTATATTATTATTTTTTTAGAATTATTTATTATATTATAATTTATGATTTTGTGTTTCAAACTTTATCATACCTGGGATGTTTACTAGACTCTTGTTTGGACAGATTTAAGTGAGTTATTCCTAAGAATTACAGGCCTACAATATAAAACAAGAAATTTCCATGTACCCCTTTGACATTCAAAAATATTGATTAGTTAGACTGCCAGGAAGGTAAAGGTAAAAAAAGTTTTCATATTAGAAGCACTTTGCATGTGATCATTAGAACGAACAGCCAACTCATTAAAGGATATGTTCACCTTTTAGACAAAAATAATAAAGACACTTTTTTTTGCAGATAAAAAATATGCATTTATTATTTTTGTCTACAGGGGCCTGGAAAGCTCCTGCAGACCTGTCAGAATATCGGCTTGCCATACGGCATGTATGAGCAAGCAGATATTCTGACAGGAAGCTAAGACTGTCGGGACTTGCAGTTCATTCATTCACAGAGGTCCGTGAATGAATGATGCGGCTGTGTGGGCGGAGCTCCTCACAGCCGCCGCGCTGTTTTCAAATTTGACAGTACGGGGAGAAGTCTCCTCGTACTATCTATCTGTCAGAGGGAAGGGGGGGGGCATGTAACATGCTCCAAAAGGTGAAATTATCCTTTAATCTCCAACACTACCAGCTTTCTTAGGGTGGACCCTCTTCTTTTTGGAGATGGGCAGTTTACCAAAAATTCACTAATTATCACCAAAACATTTCAGATCCTGTTGTTCTCCCTAGGTATCAGTGATCTGTAAATTTATTCTTGAGTCTATTTTGCCTGCCTTTGTTATGCCCACATCAACTACTCACATTGCTACTCATGTTAGCCTTTACCACCTACTAAAATTTGAATCTGCTGTATGAGATACTGAGATAAAACGTGTCTCAGGCACCTTTTTTATGAAAAAAACCCCTCCCTTACCTGTGTTTATGAGGACCCTGATAAAAATTTATGATCTATGTAAAGGCCTACTGCAAGTGAATTTTTCGCTTGCAGTAGGCTTTGGTAGAGGTTCTGAATAAATCAACTGATTGTTAATGTGTAGCAGTTCTCTACTTATGGATATTAAATAGGGTCCCTGTGAGAATCCGCTTGTAGGGAATAAAAGATTAAGAGCACTAAGCTTGGGGCTTGGCAACTCTGTTCCTTGTACTCCATATACATTGAATTTTGAGATGCTGGTCAAAAATAAGTAACAACCAACCTTCAGATTGCAGATCTTTGTCATGTACATGTAACCTGTTATGTTGACTCTAGGTGTAGTTAGGTTGTTGGGTATGCTTTTCTAGGAGGTGTAAGAGAGTCTAATTTGGAACCCACTCCAGTGTGGCTAATGGATATTTAGTAAAGACTAAAGTAGTGGAATTATTTAAGATTGAGACTTTATTTTGTCAGATACTAGCTTGAATGAATAAAAAAATTTGATTACTGAATGCAAGGTTTTTATCTAATTTAATCTTTGCTATGCTTGGGGGTCTGATTTTCTACACGTCTGTTTCTCATTATCTCATTAACAAGAGCTATCACCAGAAAGATAAAGTTGTTAAAGTGGAGATTCAGTCTGTAAAAAAAAAAACAAAGGAAATCCGCTACAAATCCTATAGCTGTCGACATTTAATAAATGGACACTTACCTGTTCCAGGATCCAGTGCTGTCCTCACCTGGGCTAGTTCTTCACTAGCCTCTGGGTTCTTGGTACCGGCATCTGAACTGGGGGCAGCCAGCTTTGTGGCTTTTGGCTGCACAGTCGGGTGCCCACTGCACATGCTACGTTTTGGTCCCACAGTCTTCTCGGAACTGTCATGTGTTTCAGAAGACTGCAGGGCGGGTAGGAGGAAGGAGAACTTTTGCTCAAATCACATGATTCAAGAGGAAGTGGGAGCAGCTACCTGTCAGAACAAGGTAGACTTCCCTCCAAAATTACATGCCAAGTTAGTCAGAGGAGGGGGGAGGATGTCTTTAAGCGGAACTTCTCCTTTTGGGTGAAGCTCCGCTTTAATTTTCCCATGTGTCTTTGTTGCTGTAGCTCCATCCATCCTGAAGCCTAAAAATATGGGCGTTAACTTAGCAGGGAGTTAACTTAACAGCCAGCACTTACCCCTACCTCTCACCATTTTACAGCACTGTGTCTCCTCATCTCTCCCAGTTAGTACACAGAGTCCTGACCTGCAGGCTGCTATACAGAGGTACTGAAAACTGTGAAACTGTCAGCTTGTGTTGTGAATGATTTGCAGGTGAAGAAAAGGGCTTTCATTCACAAAAATACAAGCTGACAATAGCATACACAGCTACTACACTTGCCTAAGCATTCTAGTATAGTACCTGGTTTGTGCTATTGTCAGTGTGTGTTTTTGTGAACTAAAGCAATGTTTTTCAGCTGCAATAATTCACAAATCAATCTGATAGTTTCCACTCTCTTCGTTCCTCTGAATAACGGGCTGCAGCTCCAGACTCTGCTGTGCTGTCTCCTTAACTCTCCTCTTTAGTGCACACAGAGTGATGTTCTGTCTGTCAGCTTAGAAGGAGGGGTCAGGGCTGTGCAAGTCTGTGGTGCTGCCTGTCATGTCCCTTCTTCTCCTGAGCCATCATTCAGAAACCCATCTCTGTTGATCAGTGTTGCCGGACAGATAGCGAACTGGTGCTATGTGTGCAGACTTTCCTAGGACAGGTTAACAAGATTTAATTTATTCTAATGATAGTTCTTCTTTAACCACTTGCCTACAGGGCACTTATACCTCCTTCTTTACCAGGCCAATTTTCAGCTTTCAGCACTGTCGCACTTTGATTGACAATTGCGTGGTTATGCAAGATTGTACCCATATGAAATTTTTATCATTTTTTTCTCACAAATAGAGCTTTCTTTTGGTGGTATTTAATCACCGCTGGGCACTTTACTTTTTGCGCTATAAACAAAAAAACTTAAAAAAATTTGAAAAAAAAAAGTTTCTTTGTTTCTATTATAAAATTTTTCAAACAGGTAATGTTTCTCCTTCACTGATGGGCGTTGATGAAGCAGCACTGATGGGCACTGATAGGCAGCACTGATGGGCACTGATAGGCAGCACTAATGAGGTGGCATGGATAGGTGGCACTGACTGGCATCACTGCTGGGCACTGACTGGCGGCACTGCTAGGCATTGACTGGCGCAACTGCTGGGCACTGACTGGCACAACCGCTGGGCACTCACTGGCAGCACTGCTGGGCTGCACTGATGGGCACTGGTGGGTGGCACTGGTGGGAACAGGTGGGTGGCACTGCTGGGCACAGGTGGGCGGCACTGCTGGGCACAGGTGGGCGGCTCTGGTGGGTGGCACTGCTGGGCACCGATCATCAGGGCACTGATCATCAGTGCCCTGATCATCGGTGCCGATCCCTGCTCTGACAACTACCATCATTCGGCTATCTGCGGTTGGCAAGTAGTTAATATTTAACAGCCTAATAATACAATTACCATATTTTTCTATCAAGAAAGTATTGTATAAAAATATGCAGTTTTAGGAATTGTTAAGCTCTCGTTCCTAGCTCACATGGTATAGAGGTTGCAGGAGAATGCTTCTGTGTTTTTCATTGCTATGACATAACCAATAATCCAAAGAAAATACAGTAATTATCAAACAGTTGTAAATGAAATAAAGCACAATGAAATACATTATTTTTCTTGTTAAATATATGCTCAATCACTCAAAAAATATTTGAATTCCACTTTAGTTAATGAAGATGCTGTTCGAATGTTCAGATGAGCGCATTGATCTTGAGCTGATTTCTTTCTGCATAAATCTTGCTGCAAATAAAAGGAATGCTCAGTTAATATGTGAAGGTGAGTCAACTGAGTTGCCTATTATTTATGATCAGAGCCAGTCCATGAATCACAAAATGTAGTGTGCTCTTATTTGTTAATTCTTTTCTAAACACTCTGTAAACTAACCTAATAAAATGAAAAGTGAATTTTTTGTGTGTTTACATTGTGCCTGCATTCACTGTCTGGTCTGTAGCAAATACTCGTGGACCCTATAAAAGTGTGGCACCTTAAGAAAGAGACAGCGAATGGCACCTCTGGTTTCCTACCTCCTTCCTTACATTTCTACTGATTGGTAAGGTGAGCAGGATAGTGATAGGCCAATATCGAGTTGACCACTTTTTTATCATCAGGACATTATACCTTTGTGGGGTTCAGGGCATTCTGCCACATCTCACAAAGTACATGCAGTCAAATGGAAGTTCCAACAAAACAATGCAGGTGTCTTTAATATGTTTTTTAGTATGGCCACAGGTTTGCTTTAATTCGACTTTAACCACTTCAGCTTTCACACCTGTACAACTCTTATAGACCATAGCAGTTTTTTTATTTCTGCTATGGGCCTCTATATATGATGATAACTTTGTCATGACTTAGTGCTCAAGCACACTGGACTTCAAAAATGCTGCTTTTACAGGAGTTTTAATGTTTTGGTTTTTTTTCTGCTTATAAATGTACGTGTATGTTAGTCTATGGGGGTTATTTACTAAAACTGGAGAGTGTAAAACCTAGTGCAACTCTGCATAGAAACCAATCAGCTGATCTGACCCTGACGTGGATGGGTGGAGCCTAAACATGGCGGCGACGGAGAGCACGATGTGAGTGCTCTCCGATAACCTCCAAACTGACCCTCCTGAGACCCTCATGAAGAGAAGCCCTACCTGACTGAGGAGGGCTCCAAGCGGGTAGAGACTGGCGCGGTGAAGGGAGAGGAGAGCGGGCACGGACCTCCAGGAGGAGAACTCGCTGCGGAGATTCCAGTGCAGCTGTCGGGTTGCCGGGAATCGAAGCAGGGCGTGTGAGCACGCTGCTCGCCGCAAAGCACTACTGGGAGGCAGAGACGCCGGCCGGTTCCCTGTCAGAGCGGCAGTGACACGCCGGCTCCCCCCTGCACTACATGACTGGAAATCCGTGAGACCAGAGGAGGAGTGATGTTGTTGGGAGTGGGGGCCCGGCTGCGGAGGACTCTTGAGGGAAGGATCCTGGGTCTGAGTGACCCAATAGAGTGAAGAGAGTTACCCTTCTTTCTTGTGAAGATCTTGGACAAAGGGCACGAGGAGAGGAGGGAAACCCAGAGGAATCCCCCCTTGGACTGAGCTGCTGCGAAAGCCCTATCCCTTAAGCTCGGAGCCACTGCTTGGAGAAGAAGAAGGGTGAGTGAGAGCTGCTGGGGGCTTATCGTATGGGGGAACCCCGAGTGATATGGGAAATCTAGGGGTGAAGGAGAGGAGGGGAGGATTCCCTGGGCTAAGAAAGAGAAGATGAGAAGAGCTCCAGGTGTCGTAGGAGAGTAAAAAAATAGGAAAACAGCAGGTTTTGTCTGGTGTATAAATTAAAGGATTGATATAATTTCATCTTGAGAATAAGAGAAGAAATCAGAGATTTAGAGGAAATGAAGAACAAAGGTCCTAAGGGAACAGGGCCCAAAGGGTCTCAAACAGGTACGATAAAGAAATTTACATCGCAAGGAAATATTACGCCAGAAAGGGCCCAAGGTGCAAGCGCAAAAGGGGAAATGGACATTTCTCTGGGAAACAGTCCTAGATTATCAATGGGTATGAATAGTAGCTGTAGCCACCTAACAACAGAGGGCTTGGAAAAAAAAGAATTAGACGGTGAACTACAAGCACCAAATAAAAAGGAGATGATAGAAATGTTTCAAACATTGGAAAAAATGATAAAGCAAGAAATGACAGTTGTGCGGAATGATCTAGGACACCTGCTATCGAGAGTGGAAGAAACAGAGGAAAAAGTTAAAAAACCAGGCCCAAACCATAGATAATCTAGAGAAAAAAAAATAACTTACTTGGAGAATACCCAGAAAAAATTGCTCTATAGGATGGAAGTTCAAGAAAATAAAGAAAGAAGATGTAACCTTAGAGTTCGAGGAATTCCAGAGCAAGTAAAAGGGGAATCACTATATGACCTAGTTGTAAAAATTCTAAACTCCATAAGAGACAGACCTGAAACAGACGGGATTAAACTGGATGGAGTGTTTAGAATAGGAAAGTTTAATCAAGCTGCGGAGAAGGAAAGATCAAGAGATACAGTGGTCCAGTTCCAAAAATTTGGGGTCAAAGATGAGATATGGAGGAAGATTAAAGGAAGATCATTAATTAAGTATGGAGACTTAAATATCCAAATTTATGCGGACCTAACACCAGAGACCTTATGGAGAAGGAGATCCCTGAGACCCTTGTTGGAACAAATGAGAAAACAGAACGTTCAGTATAGATGGGGTACCCCAGCTTGTTTAATTGGCTGGAAAAATGGTGTAACAGCATATTTGAGATACCCGGAGGAACTGAGGGATTTCTGTGACAGACTGAAACTGCAAATAATGGCGATAGTGGGGTGAGAAGAAGAAGAAAAAGAAAGAAGGGAAACAGAAGATACAAGAAAAGAGGACTGGCAGCGGTTTGGGGGGAGGGGAGGCCCGGGGGAGGGGAGAGAGGGGAGGGAAAATTGAAAAAATATATATTTTTTTTCCTCTCTTCTATCTCTCTCGACCCCCCAGGCCCTACCTTTGTTGAAATGGTAATCCCTTGGGAGCTTCGGTTGAGGGGGGAAGTAAAGATTTTTGTATTCTCCTGTGGATAGAGAGAGGGGATCTGGGGAGGTCGAAGGAGAGGCTAGCCGGCCATGGGTGGAGCTTACGCCCAAAGCATCAAATCAGTGGTGGAAATAGATCCACAAATGATTTATAGGCAGTATTTAAGCCTAAATATGGGTAGAGGGGAAAAAAAGATCGAGGGATGGGGGGAGGGGGGGGATGGGAGTTGGGTTGGAGGGAGGGAGGGGAGGAGGTATTGGGTTAATACTCTGCATGACAGTAGGGATAAAGAGGAAGAGGCAATTTGGAAGAGCGATGGAGCGAACTGGGAAGGATGGAAGAAATACAGTTTATAACCTATAATGTGAACGGGTTGACTTGTCCAGGGAAGAGATTTAAGTTGTTTAAGGAGTTACATCATAGGACAACGTCAGTGGTATTTTTACAGGAGACGCACTTTGAGATAGAGGCAAATGTGAAATTGAAATCTAAATACTATCCAATATGGTATTATGCAGACTCTCCAATTAAAAGAGCAAAAGGGGTTGCAATAGGTTTGGCAAAAAATATGAGATTTGAGCTAGAGGACAGAAGAACCGATCCGGAGGGGAGTTTTTTATTCTTAAAAGGTAAACTTCAGGGGATTGAGTGTACTTTAGCCAATATATACTGCCCTAATAAAAACCCGGAGATGTATATGAAGGGTCTGTTGAAAAAATTAATGGAATTTTAAAAAAGGGCGTTTGATAGTTGCAGGAGACTTAAATTTCTGTATGGACCCACAAAAGGATAATACCTCCTCTGTGCAAAGAGAGGGGAGTAGGTCTCTGAGAGCTTTGAAAAAAGTGATGCATGAATATCAACTAGTGGACATCTGGAGAATAATGCATATGAAAGACAGAGACTATACCTTCTTCTCTAATGCACACGAGATATACTTGAGATTAGATTACATCTTTATAGACCATCAACTTATAGAACATCTGGTTAAAATTGATATAGAGACAAGAACGTTCTCGGATCATGCCCGGGTCGTAATGAAAATGGGATGGGGAAGAAGGTGGACTGGAGGATTAGGGTGGAGGTTAAATGAGGCTCTTCTTCTGGATGAGGACTTAGCTCAGAAAATCGAGAAAGAGATTAAGGTTTACTTTAAGGAGAACGAAACAGAGGAAGTATCGATAGCTACAGTTTGGGAAAGTCACAAGGTATTTATAAGAGGAATCTTGATTGCGGCAGGAGCAAGGAAGAAAAAAGAAAGAAGAGAGAGGGTCAGTGGGCTTCTAAAAGAAATACTGGACCTGGAGCAGATCCATAAAAAGAAAATAACAAAAGATACAAGACAGAAGTTAATGGATAAAAAAGATGAGCTAGAGAGGTTGATGGATGAGGAGAAGAGAAGAGTATACAACAGGGTTTTAAATGAGAGATATAGATGGGGAGATAGACCAGGAAAATATCTAATGAGAGCTTTGAATAAAAAGAAAAATAGGAACTATATAGAAAAGATAAAAAGTCCTAAGGGGGAGTTGGCCCACTCAACTAAAGAGATTATTAAAGTGTTTACGGAGTATTACAGAAAGCTATATAATATTAGTCCCCAAGGTCCTCTAAAAGAAGCTCAAGAGGGAATCAATGAAAAAAAAGATGATATATTTAAAAAACGCGGGATTACCAAAACTAAGTGAAGCACAGTTGAACTCCTTGGACGTGGAAATTTCCCAGGAAGAAATTAAAACAGCATTAAGAAGCACAGGGGGGGGGGGGGGAGCCCAGGCCCGGAAGGCTATACAGTTAAGTACTATAAGAAATTTAGTGAAGTGCTGTTACCCAAGCTGGAAAAGTATATGAATGCTCTGGGAGGTGGGATGGAAGTGAGGAGAGAATCTTTACAGGCCCATGTAGTACTTATTCATAAGGAGGGAAAAGACCCATCTCAGTGCTCCAGCTATAGACCTATTTCATTATTGAACACAGATACCAAACTATATGCAAAGGTTTTAGCAAACAGGTTGAAAGATCTAATGCCTGAATGGATCCATGGAGATCAGGTGGGCTTCGTACCTGGGAGAGAGGGTAGAGATAACGGCTTGAGAACCCTGATGCTTATTCAGAAAAGTAGAAAAGGGAAAGCCCCGGTGGTGCTCTTGTCAACTGATGCAGAGAAGGCATTTGATAGAGTGGACTGGGGCTTTATGATGGACAACTTAAAAGTGCTGGGGATAGGTGATAGAATGCGTGAGTGGAT